AAAGGTCAATACAAAATAAATTGCATAATTAACTGTAAATTTAATTAAAGAGTCACAGAATGAGAGAGAAAAGAACACTGAGATCAAATTTTCCCATTTGCATCCTTAAACATTAACTCAGCTGGCATCAGGAAGACTGAGAAAAAAAGACAGAGAGGGAAAATGTTATAGGCTTTCCAATAACAATCTTGGACCTAATTATTTTCTGGTGAGTACACAGAGGCACTACAAATACACATGTGCAGATGGCAAAGATAGCATAATTCACCATCCTCCTCACAAGTCTGCAAGCAGGTGAATAAATAAGAAACTGAACCTGGATCCATTCCAGTGCCTAAGAGCACCTTTCATTCCACAGAGAAAGACAGTTGGTAGCTCTAAAAATTAGAAAAATAGCCTCTGAGAATTTGGGCATGACATAAAATTCGCACAAAATACCTTCTTGACATAGGAACTATAGACGCAGAACCAGGAGCCTCAGCACCCCGGATCTCATTGCTTTACAGGGCACGTAACAGAGGATGACTTCTGCCTTCGGGTCTCAGTACTTCTATAAAATATTTTTTATTTGTATGTTTCATCTCTATTAATAATTTAAAACGATTTTTCCTCTTGACAGATTTTATGCCCAAAGAACTAAATCACTCGATTCAAACCTCTAGAAAATATATTTAATATAAATATACCTGTCCTATAAATGCTAGCTGAAAAATGTTATATATTCAGAGTTCCATCCTTTTCATTAAGATAGCTTTGGGTACAGAAGAATTTCCTTTTCTTAGTAATTCCACAGTATGTCCAAACTCAGAAAATCCTTAGCATCTTGCTGGGAATTCATTTTGGTTTAATCATATTCAAATCCACTGCTTGAAAATTGCCAACCTGAAAACTATTCTCACCCTAAGATTTGTTAGAAATGTGAATTAGCAAATATTAAATAAGCAAATGAATTTGAAAATCTAACCACCCATCCTCACCCAGCAGGAATCTCACTCACTACAGACCTTAGAAACATAACTGAGCTCATTGCTTGCCATTACTCCTGCTTGAAATACAGCAGTAAGATGGCAAAAAACACTCAGAATCAGGAAAGCAAGATGGGGGCACTGATGCAAGAAATCCAGAAGTATCCCACACAGCGGCCTGAACAAAGAGAAGGATACAGCAGCTGTGCTAATATCAGGCCACAATACCTACATAATATCCCAGACTTTTCCATTAAAAATAAAATGAAATCCATGCCCACGAGGTTAACCCGACTCACTGCACTCATGCAAGTGGATCCACAGGCAGTGAAACGATTTCATGCATGTGGCAAATAGGAGTCACCTTGAACCTGAGATCAGCAAACCTGTTCCTCTCCCACATCAGTTCAGGGGTAAGTGACCTATTTCAAGCCCATGGAATGTCACATGGTGTTTATATCAACCAACATATAGTGCAACATCATCAAATAGCCATTATACTGACATCTCAGAGGATCTTTACTGCCTGAACCCAGCTCACTGTGTAACAGCATGAACAGACAGTTCTACTGAGATGCAGGGAAAACCTTTCTACCAGCACAGTTATCACTGGGACAGCGCCCAGAGGATGAGAGGCTCCCAGCTGGGAGATGCCCCAGCCTGTTGGGCCCGGGCTCTGCGCACCTCCTCTCATGGGGCCGCTGTCAGCAGAGGATAAGCAGGTCCTTCCAGAAGCCCTTTCAGCCTTCACTGCTGCACGGTTCCCTGACATCAGTGAGAAAGGCCCTTCCATGGCACAGGGTGAGTAAGGACAGCAGAAAACAGTGGCTGCATAGATTTATGCCACACCTATCAACTTTGTACCACAACTTGCTTTTTTAAAGGAAAATTATGTAAAAATCTCTGAAAATACAAGTTTAAACAAAATGTTGCCGCATTTCAAAAAATTAATTTGAAAATAAAAATTAGGCATTCAGATCCTCCACGCCAAAATTACTGCTTTTTTTTATAGTTTAAATATTCTTGGAAGCAGAATAATGATGTTTATTCCTTCATTTTAAACAGAGTAATTTGAAAAGCTTTCCATCAGAAGTTTCTTGCTATGGTCATTACATTTCAGTGCTGTGCAAGCTGTGAGAGCAGGAGGTGCTTCCTACCAAACTCCATCTCGAGGCATTTTATCGCACAATAATTGTGTAATCCAACAAACATCTACTTCATTAGCACCTTCTCCATTAAAAAAAAAAAAAAAGATGTGATGAATAGTGTCCCCTAAAGCCTCATTACAACACATACAAGTTTTTAGTCAAAAAGAGACCTCATATAAAATCAAATGTAAAACTTCTTCTAGCATACAAAACCAGGCTGTATCAGAGTGCTGGTGTGGGTGGCACCACGGCCACTGCTCACAGGCACCAGCCCCACACCAGGCTGCTACCGCCCCAGCCGCAGGCACAGGCAGCAGGAGGCAGGACTGCACTGTGGCACTTTGCAGCCTCTGCTCACTGTGCAGGTTTGCAATAGCATTCCTGGGTTAAAGGAAATGTAGAATCATCCAAGAATAAAATGATCTGTCCTCAGCGAGGCCTCTCACACCGCCTGCCCTTTTACCAGTACGTGGGATAACAACCACAGCTTTTTAACTTTCATCTACAATGAGTGCCACCCCAGACATTACAGAAATGTACCCCAGCTCCTGCTTTGCAGGCTCCTGATTTCAAAAGCTTGGGAAAAAAACTTCCTCAAGAAGAGACACCATTCAAAGCAGACACAGTGCTGTGAACCACTGCTGCAGACAGACACTGCTGCTGGGGTACTGCTCAAACTGTGCAAGCGTGGCCCCGACCTGAGCTCAGCACAAGTGGTGTGGCTCAGATGCATAACTGGACCAGAAGAAAAGGAACGCATGGACTGAAAAGTAAAATACTGTCACATGTCCATACACATTTACTGCAGATTTGGAAATCAGTAAAGTGAGCAAAACCTGCAACAGCTGCATAAATCCAGGATGAGCACTGCTAAATACCCAGAAGTTTGTTTGTTACAGTGAGGCTTCTGTGGCCTCTGCTGAATCATATATTACACAGTGCTGAGTGGCCCAGAAACAAACAGCTCTGTGTCAGGGGCCACACAGCTCCTCCTGGGGACACAGGACACGACTGTCACAGAGAAGAGCCTACAGCCAGACCCAGGCAGGACTGTGACGCTGCTTCCCCAGAACTCAAAGTCAACTCAGCACCTTGTCAGCTCTTTTCACTGTCTGTGCATAGATTTTGCAGCCAAACATGCGGCCCGCAGCCTGCTGAGTCAAGGTTAATGTGGACACTGACTAACTGTAAGGCACCATTTGGGAAAGATACCATCGCCACAATCTGCAGAAGTGCTCAACATTGGAAATTTTGAAATTTAAGGTGGAGAAAATATTTTAATATCCTTAAGCACAATATTATGCATGCAATTGACTCTTCACAGGGAAATCCAACACACCAGCAGGCAGCCAATGTGCCCGTCTGAGCTGCCAGGGAGAACCTCTGTCTGCCCAACCAGATGACCAAGGGCCCACAAGAAGTCACATGGCTTCCTGTTACTGAAGTGGTATAGAAGGAGTCTTTCAAGGAGTCATATAATCTGATGGATTACTAATCATAAAATTAATAGCGGAGAGATGAGTTAATTACATCCAAGTTCCAAAGATTTTGGCAAAAAGCACTGGAATCGCTGAGCCACAATGAAACTTACTGATAAATATCCAGTAAACTCTTCAACCACCTGAGACTCACCTAAAGTGCCTGCCTGGAATAAAAAATAATGCTAAAGAAAGAAGTGATCGATAAGAGCATCAAACTTCTTACAGGAAGACCTGAGAGTTCACAAGCTTTTTATCGACCTCAAACTTCATTACGCCTTTGTAGCCATCACTTCTGACCCACGGGGAAATTAAACAGCCTGAGCGTGGATGGCACAGCTGCTGCAGCAGGAGGGAACTGCTCAGAGGCCACAAAGTCCCAGTTGGCATAGAGCTGCCCCACGGCTGTGTGCTGCATTGCCCCTCAGGGCAGTGTACAGGGAGAATGCACCGTCTGCTCTGCGTGGGTCTGCTTTGCGTGGATTAGAGAAAGACACCACCAATACATCGCAGTTCCTAGAACAATGTGAAGTGCTGCTGAAAGAAAACACCAAGAGGCTGTATTTCTCATTTTGCCTTTATTTTTAATTCCACAGTGACCCATTGTGAAAGATCACCTACACCGGTACCACTGTGGTTCTGCTGTCCGTGGTCCTACACTGGGGCGCTTAGCACCTGTAATAAGGAACACTACTGGGGATCTCAGCACTAACTGGATCTCACTATTGCAGGTGGCTCTCATGGAATAACTACGGTTGGAAATTATCTCTAAGACCAAGTCGACCCATCAATCCACTCCCACCAAGCCCACTAAACCACGACCCTCAGTGCCACACCTCCATGTTTCCTGAACGCCTCCAGGGTCAGCGACTCCACCACCTCCCTGGGCAGCCTGTACCAACACATTACCGCTCTCTCAGAGAAGAAATTTCCCCTAAAACTCAACTTGGATCTCCCCTGCACAACTCGAGGCCATTTCCTCTCGTCCCAAGGGGCTCTCAGCCCTGAGGCTGGCTGCACTCCCCCTGACCGCCGCAGCCCCCGCCGCCCCGTCCGCCCGCGGCGCCGCGCTCGGTTCCCCGCAGCCGCCCCCCGGCGCCCTCCCTCCCTGCCTCCTGCCGCCGGAGGGGCGGGGAAGGAGCGCGGCCGCCCCGAGACCGCCGCGTCGGCACCCCCGCGGCCGGGCCGGGCCCTCCCGGATGCGCGGCCCCGCGCCCCGGCGGCAGGCAGGGCCGG